GACGGTGGCGGTGACCAGGCACCAGCTCCCAGGCCGAAAAGAGCGGCCTACAGTGAAGCTTCCCTCCCGCTGCCGGAGAACGGGGAGAGAAGGTGCTGCCTGGGTGAAGCTGCCGATTTCTGTCTGGCAGGGATTGGGGGCCCCAGAGTCCGAGGCGTCCGTAGTTACCTCGGTTTCTCCGAGGTCCCAGGTCTAGTGACATGACCCGACAGTGCGCTCCCCCGGCTTCGGGCACTGGGGCTCCGCTGAGCGGGTCGGTGCTGGCAGAGGCGGCAGTGGTGTTCGCGGTGGTGCTGAGCATCCACGCGGCCGTGTGGGACCGATACTCGTGGTGCGCCGTGGCCCTCGCAGTGCAGGCCTTCTATGTCCAATACAAGTGGGACCGGCTGCTGCAGCAGGGAAGCGCTGTCTTCCGGTTCCGAACGTCCGCAAACAGTGGCCTACTGCCCGCCTCAGTGGTCATGCCTTTGCTCGGACTGGTCATGAAGGAGCGCTGCCAGTCTGCGGGGAACCCATACTTCGAGCGCTTTGGAATTGTGGTGGCAGCGTCTGGCATGGCTGTGGCCCTCTTCTCATCAGTGTTGGCCCTGGGCCTCACTCGCCCGGTGCCCAGCAACACTTGTGTCATCTCGGGCCTGGCTGGAGGTGTCATCATTTATATCATGAAGCACTCACTGAGTGTGGGCGAGGTGATCGAGGTCCTGGAGGTCCTGCTGATCTTCGTCTACCTCAACATGATCCTGCTGTACCTGCTGCCCCGCTGCTTCACCCCTGGGGAGGCACTGCTGGTACTGGGTGGCATCAGCTTCATGCTTAACCAGCTCATCAAGCGCTCTCTGACTGTGGTGGAAAGCCAGGGCGATCCGGTGGACTTCTTCCTGCTGGTCGTGGTGGTAGGGATGGTGCTCATGGGCGTCTTCTTCAGCACCCTCTTTGTCTTCATGGACTCAGGTACCTGGGCCTCCTCCATATTTTTCCACCTCATGACCTGTGTTCTGGCTCTGGGCGTGGTGCTGCCCTGGCTGCACCGGCTCATCCACAGGAACCCCTTGCTCTGGCTTCTTCAGTTCCTCTTCCAGACAAACACCCGCATCTACCTGCTGGCCTACTGGACTCTGCTGGCCACCTTAGCCTGCCAGGTGGTGCTGTACCAGAATGCCAAGAGGTCATCTTCTGAGTCCAAAAAGCACCAGGCCCCCACCATTGCCCGGAAGTATTTCCACTTCATTGTAGTGGCCACCTACGTCCCAGGTATCGTCTTTGACCGGTCTCTGCTCTATGTGGCCGCCACTGTATGTCTGGCAGTGTTCCTCTTCCTGGAGTACGTGCGCTACTTCCGCATCAAGCCCCTGGGCCATACTCTGCGGAGCCTCCTGTCCCTCTTCCTGGATGAACGAGACAGTGGACCACTCATCCTGACACACATCTACCTGCTGCTGGGGATGTCTCTTCCCATTTGGCTAGTCCCTAGACCCTGCACACAGAAGGGTAGCCTGGGGGGAGCAAGGGCCCTGGTCCCCTATGCGGGTGTCCTGGCTGTGGGTGTGGGTGACACTGTGGCCTCCATCTTCGGCAGCACCATGGGGGAGATCCACTGGCCTGGAACCAAAAAGACCTTTGAGGGGACCATGACGTCTATATTTGCCCAGATAATTTCTGTGGCTCTGATCTTAATCTTTGACAGTGGAGTGGACCTAAACTACAGTTATGCTTGGATTTTGGGGTCCATCAGCATCATGTCCCTCCTAGAAGCATACACTACGCAGATAGACAATCTCCTTTTGCCTCTCTACCTCCTGATATTACTGATGGCCTAGCTGCTGTGCCACAGCCATGGAGGAAACTGGCACAAGGGTAGGATGAATGGTCCACACAGCAGCCACCCACTTGGGCATGAAGAACCAAAGGGTGAGAAGCAGATTTGACTTTTCAGTTGATTCAGATTCAGAATAAAAATCAAAGCTCTCCTAGTTTCTAGTTTTGCTAATATTTAAAAAGCAAAAAAGAGGGGCCGCCTGGTGGTGTCGTGGTCAAGTTTGCGCACTCCACTTCTGTGGCCAGGAATTCGCCAGTTCAAATCCTGGGTGTAGACCACATTGCTCATCAAGCCATGCTATGGCGGCATCCCACATACAAAATAGAGGAAGATTGCCACAGATGTTAGCTCAGTGACAATCTTCCTCAAGCAAGAACAGGAAGATTAGCAATGGATGTTAGCTCAGGTCCATCTTCCTCACCACAAAACAAAAACAAAACATAAGCTAAAAGGCTGAAAGGGTAGTGCAACAACCAAAGAACCTGAGTGTGCTGTAGACCCCCCCACCTCAACCTTGCAGTCCTCAGAGGGCAGCAGAGTAGACACTGGAGGCACTAGAACATAGTGGCTAAGACTTACGGTTCTGGTGTCACACTAATCTGATCAGAATCCTTGGCTGCGCCCCTCCTTAACTGTGTGAGGTTCTTAACCGCTCTGGGCCTCAATTCTCCTGTCTACAAGATGGGAATAATAAGAACCTGCACCTCCCAGCGTGTCGTGAGGACGCGGTGAGGTGTGGTGTGTGAAGTGTCCAGCCCAGGTCCTGCACATAATCAGCAATCAGTAAGGGAAAGTGTCACTGTTACCCAAGGCCAGTCCTCACCTCAGCAAAAAGCCAGGCAAGCCAAGGGGTTTTCTGGGTTGTCCTTGGAGGCCAGAGTGACCTTCCTCCCGTGGCCTCACTTGGAGGAGAAGCCAAGAGGCAAGAGCCAAGTGCCTGTGGTTTCTCCCATTGGGACTGAGGACCCAGGAGGAGCTGAGAGGAAAGGGGATCTCCTCACTGCACATGTGGAAGGGCTGGAGGAAGAGGATCAGGCCCTGGGCTGACTTCCCATTTCAGCCAACCCCACCCCTGCCTCAGGGTCTCTGCTGCCTGGCTGAGTGGTGCTGAAGAAAGATGGGCTGGACAGCACGGGGTCCTTGTCAGCGGGTCCTTCCTGAGACCCTCTCACACTCCAGTCTTGTCCAAACCTGTGTTTGTCTCTTCTCTTGGCAAGAATTAGAGCCTGGGGAGCCGGCAGAGGTTACTGAGAATTCAGAATGGCTCTCCTGTGGGGGCCATGCTCTGGCCTTGCTCACTGTGAGGGCATGGTCTGGATCTGCCTGGTTCCCCACCACAACCCCCAGTGCCAGAGGAACCTGGCACTTAGCACGATCTCGGCAGAGGTTCCCCAAATGGATGAACATTGCCCATCAGTGGGAGAAGAGCACAGCAGCTTTCATGAGGCTGGACAAGGTTATCCCCCCCATCTCACGCAGCCTAACAGGGAGGGGCCTACCAGGAAGACGTGAGAACTTTGGCCCAACAAGGCCAGAGGCCCGGAGCAGAGCTCTCGGGAGACTATGGTCCTGCCTGGGAATCACTCCAAGTCGTTTCCTTCAGAGGACGTGCCCTGGGGCTCGAGGAGCCTTAGCAAATCCTCCCTCTCTCAGGTTCCCTCCTACTGCTTGCTTAGGAGGTGGCTGAATGTGGGAGGAGCACCGGCTTTGCCTCTGCGACTCCCCGGGCGGCCTCGGGAAAGGGCTCTGTCCTCTGGGCCTTGGTTTGTCCTGTAGACAGTGGGGGCCGGAAATCAAGGTTACAAACTTACATGGCTGCTCAGGCCTTGCAGGTAACGCCACGAAGGAGGACAGTGGAAGCGGGAAGCAGCTCGTGTGCCTCTAAAAGGCAGCTCCAGCCAGTCGTCACCACGCTAGGCGACACGCCCAGTGTGGCTGACCTCCCGTTCAAGGAAGCTTAGAGACCTGGATCGCTATGTGAAATCTCCCAAATTTCAAAAGTGTTTATGAAAATGCTGAGGCCCACACAAAACATGTCTGCGGTCTGGAATCAGCCGGTGGCCCCCAGTTTGCACCCTCCAGGCCAGGCCCTGGCTAAGCAGGTTTTGGATTTGGTCATTGTTCCTGCAGAAGGAAGCATGTCGAAGATGGAGGGACCCATGGAGCCCCTCATCTGGCCCCCTGATTGTGCAAGTGGGAAAACAGGCCCAGAGAGAGGAAGGGCCTGGCCTGAGGCCAGAAAGCGAGTTGGTCACAGAGCCAGGACCAGAATGTGGGACTCTGGATTCCCAGTCCTGGGCTTCTTTCCCCTCCGCATGCAAGGAGGCCCAGGAACGGAGAGGGCAGAAGCACAGGCTCTGGATCAGGCTGCCATCGCTGAACAACTGCACAGCTTTGTGACGGGCAGGTCTCTTAAGCTTCGCATGCCTCAGCTTCTTCATCTATAAATGGGGGTGGTTAGAGCACAGACCTGGAAGGTGTGAGGGCTCAGTAAGATGAAGCATGTAGAGCGGTCGGCACGGTGAGTGCCCACAAAATGTCACGTATTGGTATTAAAATCATGCAGCCCTCACCAGGCTGGGCTGGGGTGTCTGGGATGATTTTCAGCTGGGCTCTGATCTTGAGAGCGAGGCTGCTTGGGAAAGAAGGATGGAGAAGCTGCATTTAGGGGTCATTTTTATTCAATATCTAGCACATCAGTAATCAGGGGTAATTTTTATTCAGTATCTTGCACTGTAATCATCAGAATTCCATCTGAGAGGAGAGAAGAGTAAGAAGCCGGCAGGGAAGTGGCCAGAACCCTTTCACGGCTGAGAGGCTGGCTCTAGAGGGAGGTGGTGTTGGGCAGCGGGGAGGCAGAGAGACAGAGATCTTGAGAAGGCCACCCAGCCCGGGCTCCTGCTGCCCGGCTGTCACCTCCAGCCACATCTGCAGGGCCGAGGGGTGCAGATACTGGCATAAGGAAAGCCCAGGAGGAGAGATACGGCTTCCTGGTTGCAGCTGGGGGTTCAGGTGACCCGCTGGTATTTGCAGCCCACGGCTTCACCAGGAGGGGCAGTGTCCCCACCCTGAGACGGCACTTAGGTGTACAGTGGGGGAAAGGGCAGCTCAGCTGTTGGCTGGAGCCTGCAGAGGATAGAAGAGGTGACCTTGAAATGCCAGCACCACTGCTCTCAGCCTCCAGGACGTCTTCAGGAGCCTGGGCTGCAACACACCCTGCCACCTACCAGTTCTCTGGGCTCCAGACGGTGCCAGAGGCTTCCATGAGATGGAAAGTGTAGACATGGCGCGAGCGGTCAGACAGGTTCTGCTCGCTCTTGTGCACCACTTCTCCATGAATTAGGATGAGGGATCCTGGCAGGGACACAGCAGGTCAGAACACTCAGGGCAGGAAGGGACATGGGGCCCCCCTCCCTCAAGAGGTTTTGTGGCCTATTCACACCCATTCTGGTCCCTGACGGCTCAGGGGCCTGCAGCCTGCCCCAGGGTTGGAGGCTGTGCTGTTGAACCTGGGTTCCTTGGGATCAGTCCCTTCTGCTGTGTCCCATGCCCTGGGCAAGCCTGAGCAAGGGCATCCCCTGCGTGGTATTAGTAGACCCAGGCAGAAGCTGTCTGTTCTGTGCCAGGCAGCTGGGACCTCGCCAGTGGACGCTGAGCTGGACCTCAATTCTCCCTTTTCTAAAAGGAAGGGGTTGTCCTAATAGCCAGCATCTGTTGAGCACTTGCTGTGCACCATACAGCTTCCATGTATGCATCTTATATACATCATCCCACTGACTTCCCCGCTTTACATTTGGGGAAACTGAGGCTTGCAGAGTTTCAGTCATTTGCTCAAAGAGACAGCCCCAACATAGCCGAGTCTGGATTCTAGCCTGATCTGGGAGAACTGTTGCTCCCACTGCTTCCTGACTTCCCAGTCTGACCTTCCCTCTTTCTGTGACTTCATAGCCCTCAGGTGAGCTGGGTGCTAAAAGCACACGCCCACGAGCATGGCCTCAGGGCCCTGCCTCACTGTCCTCTGCATCCTGCCTACCTCTCCCCACTTCTGTGGGCACATAGAGGCTGTTGTCCCAGGCTGGGTCTGATCCCCGGATGGAGATCCCAGTCATGGAACCAGCAGGGGTCCGGACCATCCTTCTGGACACTCCACCTGCAGGCAAAGATGGAGCCTTTAGCCTCTCTTTTTTCCCTGGTCCCTCTCCCATGAGGGTGGGGTACTAGTGGGCAGGGAGAAACAGGTGTTCTCACTGGTGTGGGAGCCAGGGATGAACCAGAGGCAGCCGTTCTCCACCGTGGTGTCCTCCAGTGCGATCCACAAACCCAGCAACCGGCCCAGGGGCTCCGTGTACAGGAAGGTGGCATCCTGGTGGGCAGGGACTGCAGCAGGCCCGCCTTGGCATGAGGAGCCCGGCCTCCCCTCACCCCAGCTCACTTCCCTCTCCCCAGTCCTCTCAGAGCACTCCAGGTCCAGCCTTCCCATCCCGGGATCAGTTCCAGTCTCCCCACTTTCCTGGCCCACAGACTCGGGGCAAGAGAGTTCCCCTCTCAAGGCCTCCAGGTCCTAAAGGGCAAAGTGGCCCCAACAATAACCTGCCTCATAGGGCTGCTGGAGGAGTCCGTGAGACAGTGTGAGACGTGCTCGGTACAGGGCCCAACATTGAAATGGCTTGCTACAAAGTAGCTGCTATTGTTTAATTCCAGCCAGGTAACGAAAGCCACTGTCCTGAGCCAGGGACGAGCATCTCCAGCCACCAGAGAATCCAGCTGCTGGGGTAACAGGGGGCAACTGACCAAACCTCCACATTTTAACCTGCCACGTGCTGCTGGGGCCCAGCCCGGATGGCAGACCACCCAACAGAGGACCTGAGCCCCTAATAACAAAGTAGAGGGTGTTCATCTCTCCTCCTTCCTCCCCGAGGAGCTGGGTGTTTTCCGAGCACCAAACTTTAAGAGGGACTGTGACAATCCGACAGTGTCCAGAGGAAGGTGTCCTAGTGGTGGCACTCCAGAACTTTCTGAGGTGGATTGGCTGAAGGAAGTGGGGTGCTGGCCTTGGGGAGGGGCTGGTCATCCCTCCACCCGGGGGAGGCTGTCAAGGGCATCTGTGCAGGCCGGGGTTTGGAATTACATCAGCAAGTCTATGTTACACCAGTCCTCCAGGGAACTTGTGAAAATCCAGATTCCCAGGCCCTTGCAGTCCTGCTGGAAGATCTCAGGGAATGGCACACAGGAATGTGTACTTTTAACCAGCTGGGACTTGCTGCCAGGTTCTGGAACCACTGCTCCCAGGCCTCCAGGTCGCACTCCCAATCCATGGTTCCGGGAAGGAATGGCCCAGGCTCTTGCCTACAGACATCTCAGCAGCTACTTTCCCTCCCCACAAAGACCTGATAACCACTAATGGCCCAGACTTCCCTCCGTGGCCTTTGCTGGGCCCCACAGCCTGTTCTCAGCTCACCTTTGCCGCCAATACGAGGTTGCTGCAAGAGAGACGAAGGGCCAGGTGAGGCCAGAGGAGAGCTAGGGGGAGCAGGGGCCCGCTCTGAGTCTGGGAGATGCTCTTCCCTGACCACAGGTGTTGACCTCCAAGCATTGCACATGAGTACCAGAATTGAGCACCTACTGTGTGCCAGGCCCAGGAGGGCTGCAGAGAGAATGAGCACCCTGCCCGACGGGGCGCTCCCAGTGTGAGCACATGCATGCCTAACAAGGACACGAGGCAGAAGCCACAGGCAGCAGGAGAGGCTGGGGCCCAGGCCTAAAGTTAAACCGGGGTCAGAGATGGGTCCCTCTCTTCCTAAGGGACCTGGAAGGCTTCTTGGACGAGGTGGCACTGAGCTGGGCCTTGAAAGCCCAGAGCAGAGCATTTCAATAGCCAATGAAGGGAGGAAGGAGTCCTGGGGATCCCCTTCCTTCCCACCACCAAATTTGAACTGAGCACCAACTAAGTGCCTGGCACTTTAACCAGAGAAGACTGACTTTGTGTCTTCTCCCCCAACTTAACAAAAATTCCTCAGGGAAGCAGCTTTTGGCCCATTGTAAGGAGGAGCTTTGGAAGAGCACTCTGCCCATTTTACAGAGGGTCAGCTGAGGCCTGGGGAGGCCGCGAAGCTCACCTTAAAGATGTACATGCTCTGCACCACGACAGGCATATGGAAGCCCAGACTTCTGGCCACGGCCTGGAAGGAGGCAGAGGTCACTGCCGGCCTGCCCACACTCACATCTGGCCCAGCACCTGCCCTCGCCCCACCCCTGCTCACCTGCACCTTGGAGGAGTGGGTGGCACCCTTGAAGACAGGGTCGTGGGCGTGCAGAGCTGCGGGACAGAGACAGTGGAGGGGGCAGTGTCCCACCCGCATGAGTCCCTTCCGGGCCTAACCCTGAGCATCTAGACTCAGGCCTCACTTTGACATTTTCACCTATTTTGTGTGCATTAAGCTTTGTGCCTGTTTATAACTGAGGAATGGGCCCCACAGATGCTTCATCCCACCCCAGGACCCACCCACCCATGACCTTCATCTTGACCTTCCAGCCATCTGGGAACCTCACAGCTCTGACTTCACAGGGCCCATAACTTGCTAGCGATCTTGGTACTGGCACTTACAGTATGCGACTTTGAGCCATCGTTTCTCTCCTTTAAGCCTCAGCCTCCTCTCTGTGCAATGGGACTGGAAGAGTGGCCCTGCCCCTAGGCCGCCGTAGGACCCAATGGGCTAATGCAGGTGCAACCACAGCCGGCCCTGCACAGAATAGCCCCTCTTCTCACTATTTGCTATTATTACAAAAAGTAGCATTGAATGTACTTAATGCCACTGAATTGCCTACTTCAAAAAGGTTACAATGATACATTTTATGTTATATGTATTTTACCACAATTTTTTACAAAGCTACCATGAGATATCTTCAAGTTTAAAAATAAGTGGTCTAGAAAATAAATTATAATGTATGATCCTGGGGAAAAAAAAGTTTCCTAGCTTAGTTTGGGGTCTCAGGACAGGGAACATGTCCACATGTTCGGTGCTCCTTAAGGAGGCTCCAGGAAGCACTGGGGCCCAGGACACCACAATGCCCAGGGCCTGGATCCTCCCCAGGCCAGGCAGTAGAGAGCTGAGGGGTCTGCACGTGCCCACCTGCGTGCAGGCTCAAGTGGAACCTCTTCCCAGTGCTCTGGGGCATGCCATGTGATTAGCATCAAAAGATGCAGAAGAGGGGCTGGCCCCGTGGCCGAATGGTTAAGTTCGCACACTCTGCTGCAGCCGGCCCAGTGTTTCGTTGGTTCAAATCCTGGGCGTGGACATGGCACTGCTCATCAAACCACGCTGAGGCAGCGTTCCACATGCCACAACGAGAAGGACCCACAACGAAGAATATACAACTATGTATGTATGGGGGGCTTTGGGGAGAAAAAGGAAAAAAAAAATCTTAAAAAAAAAAAAAGATGCAGAAGAGCAGGGCCTGAGGGGGAGCCGCAGCCAGAAATGCCATTTGCTGGGCCACTAACCTATTGCGGGCTTTGGTTAAAGCCCCTAAACTCTGCAAGCCTCAGTTTCCCCAATTCCTTTCCCCCAGGCACCTGCTTACCGTGGCCAATTTTGTTGATGGATTTCTCCGGAGGGACTAGGAAATTTCCTGTAGCAAAGGAGCAGGTACAGACAGAAGAGCTGCAGTCCACTCTGCCCCGGGCAGCTGTCTCAGTGCCCCCCAGCCCTGGGGCCCATACCCGGGTCCAGCCCCTCCCACACCTCTAGGGCTCCAGCTCCGAACCTTTCTCGTCAAAAACACCTTTCTCAAAGAAGAATCGAATCTTGTCGCCGCTGCTCAAGAAATACTCTGTGTTGTCCTGTGGAGAGGGGGTATCAGAGGGACTGAGACAGCGACACGGGGTCACAGCTGGGCCTGGCAGAGAGGGAAGAGGACTCAGATGCTTCCCACCCCACAGGTCCACAGACCCCGCTGGCGCTTCTCTAACTTGTCCACTGAGGCACAGACAGTGAATGGGAACCCTACTGCCTGGAAGCACAGCTGGAACCTACAAGCGTGGAATTCTTGCAAACCCCTCCGTAAGTCACGGCACTCTTAGACTCCATATGATGTGATTCAGAAGACAGGCACTACGGTCAAACAGATTCCCCAGGTAGCCTTGGGCCACTTGTTTTACCTCCCAAAGCCTCAGTTTCCTCATCTGTAAAAGGGAATAATAATAGAACTGACCTCCCCCGCATGGTTGGAGGCTTCAAGTTGAGGCTGGATCTTATACCAGCTGAAAGCACAGACCCTGGAGCTAGAAGACTTGGCTTCAAATGTCAGCTCTGCCACTCACTGGCTGTGTGACCACACCACCTTCCTGAACCTCTCTGGGCTTAGTTTCCTCATAAAACAAAGATGCTATTAGTGGTACCTCTCTCAGAAGGTGTTGTAGGGATGATGAGTCAGTATATAGAAAGCACTAGAACTGTCCTTTGAATGTGCTATGTGCCATGTGAATGTTTGCTTTTATTATGATTACTACTGCTGCTGCTACATAGGAAATACTCAGCTAGGACATGGTTCAATGTTCGATAAATGTAAGCTGCTATGGCTCTTTTTCCGTTTTATTAATAACCTCTCCTTGTTAATTTTAATATCAGGTTTTAAATTTCTTAGCATCCTATGAAAGAGAGGCTCCAGGAAGATGCCCCGTGTTTTCCCTGTGGCTTTCGCCACCCTTGACCACCATCATATATATCACCCTACCTTCCTGCATGGCCTCATGAGTGGAGCTGAGTGGCACCGACCCCCTACCCGGGCTCCCCAGGTGGCAGAGCCCCGCCACTCCCTCACGTGCACACATCTGCTCTCACGGGTGCCTGCCTGGCCCTTTCAAAGCCCTTCCCACTGGAAACTAGAAGTGTTTTTCAACATTCTTAGCTCCTCTGCACTAGGATCAGGATGAGGCAAACCAGTCAGGGAAACATAAGGAGATAACAATGATAGTACAGCAGTGATGCTAAATGTGTCAAGGATTTTACTGAACTCGTTAATTCACAGGGGGAACCAGTAAGATGTTCGAAGGAGAATTCCAAGAACCACATACATATAGGCATTAACCAATGCTGAAACCAATTTACACATCGATGCAAAACTGATCTGTCTACGGGGCAACAACTGCATTCCGCTGGACCCAGTTTATGTCCCTTTCTGTGGACAAGTATCTTGTGCATGATTATCGGTTCTGTACAACTCACAGAGTTGTCCAATAACTCAAAGACAAGGAACGGTGGAGGTCGGCCGGCAGGGAGATCTAGACAGGACATCCACTGGTCTGGTTTTCTTTTAATACCCGTTTCAAAGTCTTTCACGATATCAGTAGTGAATATTGAGGGCTTATTGAGTGCCAGGCACGGTGCCGAGCTCTTCGCAAGCAGTATAAACCAAGGCATATACACTCTTCTCCCCTCCATCCCCCACCCCCTCCCTGGTCTCTGGAGCATTCTCAGAAGGCAGCTTGGAGGGCACAAGATTCGGCCCCCTCACTCCTCGGAGCCTTTGAGTGACCTGTCTCTGGACATAGGACCCCCGTCTCTCCTTTCTTCACTTAGAAGGCTGCCATGTCGCCCAATGAAACCGACCTTTGGGAGGAAATTATCGTTCTGTCACCCTTTTTCCTTCCCAAGAGCCTGTTCTCTGGGTGGCAGGGCTTCCAGCTGTTGTTGTTTCCTTTGTGCCCACCAGATGGCAGGAGCTCCTCAGCATGAGTAAGCCCCATCAGTGAGCCTGGCCTGCAGCTTTGACTTAGGGGCCGGCCACAGACAGGCTCCTAAATCCAGATTATGGAAGTTAAGAGAACTGTGTGTGTGTCTGTGTTGGGGCGGGGGGCAGCCAGGTGGCTCAGTGGTTAAGTTCGCACGCTCAGCTTCAGTGACCTGGGGTTCACTGGTTCCAATGCTGGGCAAGGACATACGCACCGTTTATCAAGCCATGTTGTTGTAGGAGTCCCACGTATAAAGTAGAGGAAGATTGGCATAGATATTAGCTCAGGGCCAGTCTTCCTCAGCAAAAAAGAGGATGATTGGCAGCAGATGTTAGCTCAGGGCTAATCTTCCTCAAAAATAAATAAATAAATAAATAAATAATTTTTTTTTTTTTTACAGAGAGAACTTTGTGGGAGAACCCGCGAGTCTCAATATGCCCATCTTAGACTGTACTGGTCTTATTCAGTCACTAGGGGGAAACACACAGTTCCTATCTCGATGGGAGGAGAAATACTGAGGAAGCGCAGCAAGCAGGGAACAGCACGCACTTGGTATCAGCCAGATCTGGGTTCAAATCCTCGCACTATCAATTACTAACCGTGCAGGTTTGGGGCCAAAGAATGGAGCTTCATTTTCCTCACCTGTCAAAGGGGGGCAATAATGCCGACCTCATACATTCATAGTGAGGAGTGAAGGAAACGTGCATATAAGGGGCCTGGCCTGGAGCCCGGCACGGGGAAGGCTCTGGCCTGACTGTTACCAGAACAAGCCCAAGGGCTGCTGCTCTGGCTGGAGACGGGGACGCCCAACAAAGACCACATCCCCTCCTCACCTGCCCCAGGTGCCCACCTGGGTTTTCTGCTGCTCTTCTGCCTTGTTGAGGATGCGAGGAGGAAATTCCGCACGGCAGTGGGGAGGGACATCCATCTCGGCCACTATCTGGCCAATCCTCTGTTGCAGGGCCACACACTCCTCTGCAGACAAGAATCCTTCCAGCACCAGGAATCCATCCTCCTGGAACTGCGGGCAGCGAGGACACTCAGGCTCCCCCCTTCCCTCAGCCGCTCTTTCTGAGGACCGACTGGACCCCTCCCCCAACCCGAAGCGCTGTGAAGGCAGGACCAAGGGTCCTGTTCATTGCTCTGGCCCCAGCCTGGTCATGCTGTCTGGCACCCAGTGAGGTGCCATCAGTATCGGCTGCTTAAAGGAAGGCAGGAGGGAGGGGAAGGAGAGATGTCCTCACCCTTCCCCTCCAAGGGGCCTGGGTCACATGGGAATACAACCTCACTCAGTTATTCAGCTAAAATTGATTGAGCACCTCCTGTGCACCAGACACGGTTTTAGGAGCTGGAGATTCAGTAACGAGCCAGCCAGCCAGCCAGCTATGATGGCTGTGCTCCCGGAACTGACCATCTCGGCAAGGAGCCTGACATCAAAGACACCAGCACACAGGGGAGCACACTATCACAGGCTGCTTAGTGCACGGAGGGACAGGGCTGAGAGCTAAGGCAGAAGAGTCTACTGTCAACCAGATGGGGAGGGCACAGGGGCTGAGGGCAGCAGCCTTGAGGAAGTGACATGTTATGGGGACCAGCAGGATACTGGGAGTGGAAGAGACAGGGAAGAGCATTCCAGGCCAAGGGAGTGCGGGAGGGACACGAGGAGCTGGGACCCGATGGAGCAGAGTGAGGGTGGAAGGGAGGCAGGAAGGTGGCACCCGAGCCGGGCCAGGCAAGAAGCTGGGCTTGATCCTGAGTGCAGTGGGTGGCCAGTGGGCAGTGAAAACACATGCCTTATTCTGACTTGCCTCCACTCCTCTCATTCTGAGGCTATAGAGACAAGGAGGAGAGAAAGAATATCTTTGTGTTTCCTTGCAGACAAGTGTAAAGTCTTAACCTTAACAAGGGCCTTGGAAGTCCCCTCTAGAAACCACTGTGAAGTGTCTGATTTCCAGTTACTGACCCCCATTCCCTCCCTCCCTCCCTGTCCCATGGATGCCCAGTTCTGCCTTCCACACACAGGATGCTGGAGCATTCATGACCACCCACCACAGGCCCTTCTGCCTTGGGCAGCTCTGCATGTTAGAACCTTGATCCTCATATCAGCAGCAAGCTGAACAGTGATTGCCTCCTTGGCAACTGGGTCATCCACACAAACGGTGTACACGTGATCGAGTAAACACACTGCTAGGACTCCCCGACATGAGAAGGTGGAGGATCAGCAAAGAGGGGAGCAAAGGTGTATGTATGGGGGGTACTGACGGAGGCTTGTTAAACAAGCAATAAGTTGGAAACAACCTGAATGCTCAGCAGCAGGGGATTCGTTCAACAAAGTGTGGTTCGTCTACCCGGAACACAACCCAGCTGATGAAAATCACGTGGTAGAAAAATATTTACCGACATGGGAACACGTCCCCGGTCTACTCTGAGATGAAAAAACCAGCCAAATGCAAATTAATGTCCTAGCCACTCTGAGAACTTGGGCAAGTGCTTTCCCCTCTCTGACCCTCAGACCATCCAACAGGGAGGACACTAGTGCCTCCTTTATGAAACACATGGCGAGCGCTCCATAAGCGTGAGCAGTAAGATGGACCTTTTAAAGATTCTAGGGCTATTTACCAAAATATTGTCTCACGGTAGGAATTTATGGGTGGTTTTCCATTTTCTTCTTTGAGCTTTTCTGTATTTTTCTGCATTTTTCCCTTGCTCTCAGGAACACCCAACAAGGGTCATGTTGTTTTCAGAGTCTGCTCGCTCTAATTCCCACGGGGTAGCCTTTTGTGTTGGAATGCACGCGGACCGGCCACCCTGTGCCAGGCTCCAAGAGGCCGGCGCCCTTCATATGTCCGCCCCTGCAGGGTCCAGGCCTAGACCAATACTGCCTGATCCCGGTGCTTTCTTCCCATTTTGGTCACATACACACATTCCCACCCCAACCAGGTCTTGTAGCCAGGAAGCACCCGGCTCTGTGTCAGAAGTTAGGGGTCATGTTGGAACTACCCACTCTAGGTTTCACTTTCTTCTTCTTGAAAAACAGCCTGGTGTGGGGCTCAGTTCCCGAGGACTACTCAAGATCCAGTTACTCCCCACTCCTATCTGACCCTCCAGGTCCCCACTCTCTGCAGGCACCTACCTTCTGGAGCTGTGAGGGGCTCAGGCCGGTCATGATGTCAAGACAGGGTGGAGAGTGGCTCTGGGTGCTGTACCAAGGGTTAGAAACAAAAGGAAGTTCCTCTCACGGGCAGGGAGAAAGGGTGGAGCCTAGGAGGCCCTGGAGGACTTAACCCTTCCCTACCCAGAGAAAACCCAATCATGGCCCCCCAGTTCCCCTCCCCCGAACACACACAGACCAGCCTGGGACCCTCCAGGTTGAGCCCCAGCCCTCACCTGCACCCTGTCACTCCTGCCCCTGGATGGGCCCTTGCCTCAGCCCCAGCCCCACACCTACGTTCATCCCCCAGCTAAGCCAGGATTAGCCCTTTCTGATCCCCCTCTTGGTTTTTAACTGCTCCCTCCCAGTTGGTTTCCAGACACAGCTCACACCTCACTGGCTGCTTACCAGGTGCCCAGGAGTTGTGTTCTAGGAGAATCCAGCAGACAGGACACCTGAGCCCAGGTGCCACCACTAACTGTGACCTCCAACCAATCTGTCCCTCTCTGGGCCTCAGGGGAGGATTAGAGTGTCCCTGGGCCACCCACATCAACCCCTGGGTGGGGTGGGATGCAGAGTGGGTCTGGGGGACATGCACATCAGACCCCGCTGAAGGGTTGTGCATTCCAAAGGTGGAAGAGGTCCTCCGAGAATTGTCAGGGCCCCTCCCACTTCTGATCCCCTGCAACTCTAGGTGCTGGGAGGATTATGGAAGCGATGTACAGATGAGTCTGCAGCTCAGAGGAGGGCAGAAGACAGGAGGATCTTAGAAAGAAGGGGCTGGAGAGTGGGGGCCTGGGCCTTCAGGATGAGGGAGAGAAGCGTGGTTCTTGTTTCCCACTTCCCCACCCCCAGCCCCAACATGTCTGCTGTCCACATTGGGAAAAGCACATGCACACCCACCCTTCTAAGCCGGCCTTGCTTGGCAGCTGACAGGGCAATTCTGGCTTCAGCTTCCGAAAACTGGCCACCAGCCTTCCCTGAAATGACACTTTCTGAATGGCAAAGACACAGAGCGTCTTGAGAATGAGCAGGGGGACACAGCTCAGGCTTCAGGAGCTTTGGCCCCAGTCAAGTCGTGTCTTCTGGGCCAGTGCACTGCACTGGGAGTAGCTGCTTCATGCCGGCTTCCCGAGGGCCCAGGGCCGGGGGAGGGCTGAGCCCCACTGGGCTCTCGAGGCTGGAAGGAGAGGGTCAGAGGGGTTAAGCTGGGCGAGGAGGGCAGGCTGAAGACAGAACCACGGGAAATACAGCTGAGACTCAGCTCACGGGAGGCAGGGCGTGGCCAGCTGTCCTGGTCCCTTCTGAGGGGGTCCTCCAAAAAACACAGAGACACCTGCCATGTGCCACCAGTACAGGGAGGGCCTGTCGTGCTGGGCTAGCAACTGCCCTGGGAACCCCCAGTGAAGACTCGCGGTGGAGGCTCAGTGAGGCAGACTGGGGTCGAGTCCACGCCCGGGCCTTACTTTCCCCATCTGCAATTTCGGGATAACAGAAGTTCGTTTTGTAAGGAGGAAGATGAATTCTTACTGCTGACAAGGAGCTTGGCACAGAGCTGGGCACTCAGTGAGTGCGTACTCACCGTGCACCGAACGTTAGTGGGGCTGTTCTGGGTGGAATGTGAGGGTATTTTTCATTTGTTTTTTGAACTTCCCCAGGTTTTCAAACTGCGCTTGGAGTCAGAGAGACCACCCCTGTGGTTTAAGTGGAGTGGGGAGCTTTTGTTAGGAGGTTGTGAGGGAGGGAACGGGGTCAGGGAGGGAATGTGGCGGGTGGTGCTGGGCCTGGCGTTTGTTTACTCATTCTGCTCAGGCTCTGGGAAGCGGTGGGAGGCGTTTGCACATTGCTGTTGTTTCCAAAAACTAACCAGCTCCAGATGGAACAGTGCTGCTCCAGGCACTGGGCGGCCCCAAGGCTGGGTCCGGGCATGGGAGTTTGGGGAGAGAGAGGTAGCACCAGACAGGAGGGGAAGACCTCCACTCTGGAGACACAGGAGGGTCCGAGAGGGGGGTCACAGTCCAGCTGCTCAGTCCTGAGGTCACCTGGAGGGGTCAGAGTCCCATGGAGGGAGGAAAGGCAGACTCCGGCCTGTTCCAGAGGAAGTGCCCATGCAGCAGCTAAGGCTTCACCGTAAGGCTGAGGTCAGAAGCGATGGCCTTTCTTCTTCCCCCAAAGACCCCTGTCCCAGGGCCCCTTAGTCAGTCCAGCACAAGCCTCTCTGGTCTGGGAGGAAGATATCCGTGACTGGGTACTGGGAGCCAGGCCCTCTGCTGAAAAGTCCACCCAAATGCAGAATCATCAGGAGTCAGCCTCAGAGCAATGCTGCATGGCTGCCAACACCATCCTCATGTTACCAATGAGGAAACAGAGGCCCCACATCAAATAAATGGCAGAGCTAGGATTAGAAGGAAGCCCTGTCTACCTCTCTGAGCCTCTGCCCTGGACCCCAACACCTTTCCCAATGTCCCAAAGGGGCTGCGAGCAGCTCAGGCCCTCTCACGGTGACTCTCTGCCCCACCTCTGCAGAACCCTGGGACTGGCTGTTGGAATCACAAGGGACCTGTGAGAGCACAGAGTGGCAATGCCCATTGCACAGATGAGATACGGAGGCCACGGGAGGGAAGGCACCTGCCCAGCTCCAGGCAGGGGATGACTGAGCTGGGACAAGGACTGCCTCCCTTTCCACTGCCCTCCCTTCCCTCCCCCAATCCAGCAAAGCTCACGAGGGCCCAAACCACAGGCCACTGGGCCTGCAGACAATGTGCTGACTGCAGGATCCTGGCCCGGGCCCACACGTGACTTGTAACAGACGCTCCGTCCAGCTGTCGTCCAGCAGCTGCCTCTAAGGAGCTTACAGTTGCACGGGGAAGGGAGAGGAGCAGAGCTAACTATCTTGTAGGTGCCCAACAAATGGTCACTCAACAAACTAGTGTACAGGGCCCACTGGGCCCCAGAGAGCTGAGGGAAGGGACCCCCACGAGATGGAGGCCTCCAGAGGTACTTTCTGTTATAGGTTTATTTGATATTTGAACCGAGTCTATACGTTCAGACCCCACATGTAACAGATTGCTTCATGGTTGTCAGAGGCCAGTGTGCATTATTTCTGAGGATTACATCCGCTGACATGACACAGAAAACACAAATGGACAGACAAATGGACATAATCGTTAAGACAAGAGACGCTAAAACGTGCCTTAGTGTCCAAGTGAGTGATCTAAGGTGGGGACCCTTCTAAGGTAGGAACCCTGGTGACTGATCTAAAGCGAGGTGGCTTCCCACCCCCAGGCCCTAAGGGGGCTGTATGCGCCGGGCGCCTGGGAGAGAAAGTGGAACCCAAACCTGGGGAGCCTGCCCTCCCAGTGGTGACCTCCCCACCCACGACCCCAACTCCAACAATCTGTTCTCAGGGACCAAGTGGTAACAGAGCTGATGTAAGCTTGGATCCTGGGCATGGTTTTAGAACCACTCATCAAGCCATGCTGAGGCGGTGACCCATGTAGCAGAGCCAGAAGGACCTACAACTAGAATATACAACTACATACCGGGGGGCTTTAGGGAGAAGAAGAAAAAAAAAAAAGGAAATTAAAAACAAAAAGAAGATTGGCAACAGATGTTAGCTCAGGTCAATCTTCCTCATCAAAAAGACACAAACAATAAGGCAAGCCCACGGGTAAGTGGTTAAGTTCGCGCACTCTACTTCGGCAGCCCAGGGTTTTGCCAGTTGGGATCCTGGGCACAGGCCTAGCACCACTCATCAAGCCATACTGAGGTGGCGTCCCACATACCACAACTAGAAGCACCCACAGCAAAAATATACAACTACATAACGGGGGACTTTGGGGAAAAGGAGGAAAAATAAGATCTAAAAAAAAAAAAACTCCTAACAAAGAAACCTCCAAAAAACAAAGAAACAAAAAAAACCACCTGTCATGTTTTCTTCTAGTACTTTCATAGCTGAATTTCTTTTTAATTTAAATCATTGATCTATCTGATTTTCTTTTGGTAGAAGGTATGAAACAGATACAGTTCAATTTTTCTCCAGATGGCTACCCAATGGTTCTAACAGCATTTATTGAATAATCCAACATTTCCGCACTGATCTGAAATGCCACCTTTAGTATACACTAATTCTCTATCAGTATTTGGGTCTATAGGTAGACTTCCTACTACGCTCTATTCGTCGATCTATTTATTCAAGTGCCAATACCATGTTTTAAATTACTGTAGTCTTATTATCTAATAAGGCTAATTTTCCTTCATTATTTTCCTTTTTCAAAAATTTCCTGGCTATTCTTATTTTTCACAAGAATTTTATTTTTAATTTTTTTTTCCTTCTTCTCCCCAAAGTCCCCCAATACATAGTTGTGTATTCTAGTTGTGAGTCTGTCTAGTTGTGACATGTAGGATGTCACCTCAGCATGGCCTGATGAGCAGTGCCATGTCAAAGCCCAGGATCCAAACCGGCGAAACCCTGGGTCGCCCAAGCAGAGTGCAAGAACTTAACCACTCGGCTACCAAGCCAGCCCCATCAGGTGAACTTTAGAATCAGTCTGTCCAGTTCTAAAATAAAAGGCAAGACAAACACTTGTTAGTATTTTTTCTGGGACGGCACTAAGCTTACAAGTTAATATAGGAAGTACTAACACTTTCACAGAGCCGACTCTTTATTCAAAATGTAGCATGTCTTTCTATTTGGTTACAACTTCTTTGATACACCCTTGACAGCATTTTAAAGTCCCCTTCATTTAGGTTTTCACTGTTGTAAGCTTATTCCTGAGGAATTTATGCTTTCGTTGATACTGTAAATGGGCTCTTCTACTAAATATTTTAAATAGCTACTGTCTGTGTTTTCGTTGAATTGTTTTAATAAACGTATTATTTTCAAAACAAAAAAGGTCATATTCCAAACTATAAATGTAGAGTGGTTTAAGATTTAAGATAAAATAATCAAACTAGTGTCACACACTTGATAACGATAATAAAGAAAATGAAATCTCGCTTTTAGACTTAACCATTTAACCACTAACAGAATACTTTAGGTAACTGGAGAGACAAAGACAAGGGAAAATGTCCAAAAGTAAGTACCATTAGTTGAAGTCATCAACGTTTTGGTCCATATAACATGTTTAAACTTCTCTGAAGAACGATAATCTATAAGTGTTTTAAGTTGATAAATGAATAAATAATTTGCTTGGAGCTCAATGGGGAGGAGTATACAATCCTCCTAAGACTTATAGGAGGGGCCACTAACCACATACCATGAGGTTTCCATGTGTCTCCCACGTTGGTGCTTCAGTTTTATAAAGCTCTTCAAACTGCTGTCTGTATTTTGTAACTAGCTCCTTCTCCAATTTATCAACACAGTCTGCATACTCAACCTGAAAAGAAAATCCAAAGCAGAGCAACTTACGCCTACAGTAAAAGGTAAATATTCAAATGAAAACGAATATGAATAATATAAAATTATTAACAAGAGTTGAATTTTATAGGGTAAAGAGAACCAACATGACGAAATGGGCTTACCCTATAGGGGTGTCTTTCATCTTGGAAGTAAGTGAGAAGGTGTAAGACACAACGAAGGATACAGGTTCTTTCTTCATAGTAATAATCTGCAATCTGGGAAGAACCCAAAGATTCAAAATCAGTAACTCACCTTTGTAAAGAAGATATTCAATTTTAAATTTGCTTATAAAGAGATCACTTAAAAGTATGAATGGAGGGGCCAGTCCGCTGGCACAGCAGTTAATGCTCACATTCCACTTTGGCAGCCCAGGGTTCACTGGTTCAGATCCCAGGTGTGGACATGGCACCACTTGGCAAGTCATGCTGTGGTAGGTGTCCCACATATAAAGTAGAGGAAGATGGGCACAGATGTTAGCTCAGGGCCAGTCTTCCTCAGCAAAATGAGGAGGATTGGCAGCAGATGTTAGCCCAGGGCTAATCTACCTCAAAAAAAAAAAAAAGGGTATGAATGGAAATGGTCAGTTTCTATAAGCAATCACAGAAATGGAAGCATACTGTTAGCTCAAAAGAAAGCAAAAGACCTTCATGAACTAGTATACGAGTAAAGTCATGCAAGATAAAAGGAATTATTTATAACATGAGTAAGTTTTCTAGCATGATTTCTCAGAGCATTCAAGTAACACACAACGCTATAAACTGACAGGCCAAATACACAAAAGAAAATATAAAAATACCAGTGTTATATGTCCTAATTGTTTGTAACTAATGTACTTACTTCTCACTAAATACCAAATAGGAAACTACTTCAGAAGTCATGGTCAAATATCATTTTAAAATGAGATTCTAGGATTAGGACGTAAGCGTCATGCCAGAGTGAGCTTGCCTGGGATTCTCTCTCCTCCAAATTATAACCAAAAGGAGCAACCACATTCCAACAAAAATCCTAATAGCACAGAAATCATCAGAGACCCACAGCAGCCAAACAACGGATGGCAGAGAGGCTGGAGCCCCCCTCAGAGGAGCTGGAAGGGGTAAGAGAGAACTTCGCTCCCTCCCCTAGAGACTGGATGGCTGCCGCAGGTGAGAGAAGGGGCAGGGGAGGGGCCGCCCGTCCAGGGGATCGTCCAGGACTCCCACAGACCCATGCAGCGGAAACTCTCTAACAGGAGAAAGCTTTTGCGTGGGGGAACCCCATCAAGCCAAGGCCCCAGGAAACCAGAGAGCGAAAGCTGAAAGCAGAGAGCGAGATCTGATGGGAATCCAGGTCTGCGCACAAGAAAGTGCCCCTCCTCCCCCAACCCACGCTGTGCACTGCCATCGCGGCTGAAGGTGGAGGGCTCAGAATGCGCTGCTCTCAACCCCCATCTAGTGGGAACAGGCAGTGACTGCAACTGAATAGTATTATGCGCAAAAACCGCTCCTCTACCATCCAGCAATTTATAAAAGCTCCAGACCAGAAGGAAAACAATAAAAACACAGAAGTATGTCCTGAGGACTTGAAAATAGGTAAACTAAGTGACAATGAATTCAGAATAGCTATCATCAAAAAACTCAATGACGTAAAGGGAAATATAGAGAAACAAGTGAACGAGTTCTGGAGTTACTTCACAAAAGAGATTGAAACTACAAAGAAGAATCCATCAGAAATACTAGAGATGAAAAATACAATGGATCAGATAAAACACAATACGGATTCCCGGAATGCTCGTGTTGACACCACAGAGGAGCAAATTAGCATAACTGAAGATAGACAGGCTGAATGGCTCCAGACAGAGGAAGGAAGAGAACGAAGAGCAAAAAAAAAAACTGAAGAAAAACTCCGAGAAACAGCCGACTAAAGGAGAAAAAGCAACTTAAGAATCATTGGTATTCCTGAGGGTGTGGAAAAGGAAAATGGAGCAGAAAGCATGCTCAAAGAAACAATAGCAGAGAACTCCCCAAACCTAGGGATTGAGAGAGAAATGTGTGGAGGAAGCTTTCAGATCTCCTAGGTTTGTCAATGTAAAAAGACCCACTGCAAAGCATATAGTAGTAAAAATGGCAAAAATAAATGACAAAGAAAGAATCCTCAGGGCAGCAAGGCAGAAGAAAATAACCTACAAAGGAACTCCTATCAGACTTTCAGCAGATTTCTCTACAGAAACCTTACAAGCTAGGAGAGACTGGAATGACATATTCAAAACTTTAAAGGATAAAGATCATCAGCCAAGAATACTCTGTCCAGCAAAAATATCCTTTAGATATGAGGGAGAAATTTAATCTTTTCCAGACAAACAAAAGCTAAGGGACTTTGTAGCCACAAGACCCGTCCCCCACCAAGAAATCCTCAAGAAGGCCCTCATACCTGAAAAAAGAAAAAAAGGGAGAAAGGGTCACAAAACACACAGTAGGGAGACAAACAGATAGAATCAGAACAGGATAGCAAATATTCAACTATAGCATTAGGATAAAGGGAAGGAAGTCACCAAAGCAAAGACAATCTTATCACTTTAACCACAAACTCACATCACAAGTTGGAATAAGAGATGAAAATAACAATTTAGGAGGGGAGGAGGAAAGGGACTGAATCAGTTTAGGCTAAGGAAGTAAGAGACCACCAGAAAATGGACTGTTATGCACGAGATTCTGAAACTAACTTCAAGGTAGCCACTAAACTAAAAAACAGAACAGAGACACAAAACATAAATAAGGAAAAAGCTAAGAAACCCAGCATAAGAAACTGCAGAAGTCAATGGGTAGGCTAAAACACACAGGACGAGAAACAAAGGAAACGCAGGACAACTGGAAAACAAGCAACAGAATGACAGCATTAAGCCCTCATGCATGAATAATCACCTTCAATGTAAATGGATTGAACTCTCCAATAAAAAGACACAGAGTGGCAAGATGGATTAAAGAACAAGACCCAACAATTTGTTGCCTCCAGCAAACACACCTCAGCTCCAAGGACAAACACAGGCTCAGAGTGAAGGGGTGGAAGACAATACTCCAAACTAATAGCAAACAAAAGAAAGCAGGTGTTGCAGTACTTACATCAGACAAAACAGATTTCAAGATAAGGCAAGTAAAGAGAGACACAGAGGGCCAATATATAATGATCAAAGGGGCACTTCATCAAGAAGAAATAACGCTTATAAATATCTATGCACCCAACACAGGAGCACCAAAGTTCATAAAGCAACTATTTACAAACCTAAAAGAAGATATCAAAAATAACACAACAATAGTAGGGGACCTCAACACCCCACTCACATCAATGGACAGATCATCCAGACAGAAAATCAACAAGGAAACAGTGGAGCTGAACGAAAAGCTAAAACAGTTGGACTTAATAGACATATATAGAACACTTCTTCCAAAAACAGCAGAATACACATTCTTCTCAACTAGGCATGGAACATTCTCAAGGATAGACCATAGGTTGGGAAACAAGGCAAGCCTCTACAAATAAAAAAAAAATCGAAATAATAACAAGCATCTTCTCCGATCATAATGCTATAAAGCTAGAAATTAATTACAAGAAAAAGCTGAGAAAGGCACAAAGATGTGAAGACTAAATATGCTATTGAACAAGCAATGGATCACTGAAGAAATTAAAGAAGAAATCAAAAAATACCTGGAGACAAATGAAAATGATAACATGCCATACCAACTCATATGGGATACAGCAAAAGCTGTATTAAGAGGGAAATTCATCAGAATATAGGCACATCTTAACAAACAAGAAAAATCCCAAATAAGCAATCTTAAACTACACCTAACTGAATTAGAGAAAGAAGAACAAACAAAGCCCAAAGTCAGCAGAAGGAGAGAAATAATAAAAATCAGAGCAGAAATAAATGCTATTGAAACAAAAAAGGCAGTGGAAAGGATCAATGAAAGAAAGAACTGGTTCTTTGGGAAGATAAATAAGATTGACAAACCCCTAGCCAGACTTACAAAGAAAAAAAGAGAGAAAGCTCAAATAAACAAAATCAGAAATGAAAGAGGAGAAATAACAACAGACTCCACAGAAATACAACGGATTATAAGAGAATACTACGAAAAACTATATGCCAACAAAATGGATAACCTAGAGAAAATGGATAAATTCTTGGACTCCTACAATCTCCCAAAACTTAGTCAAGAAGAAGCAGACAATTTGAGCAGACCAATCACAAAGAAAGAGATTGAAACAGCAATCAAAAGCATCGCAAAGAATAAAACCCCAGGACCAGGTGGCTTTCCTAGGGAATTCTACCAAACTTTCAGAGAGGATTTAATACCTATCCTTTTCAAGCTATTTCAAAAAATTAGGGCGGATGGAACACTTTCTAACACATTCTATGAGGCCAACATCACGCTGATACCAAAGCCTGACAAGGACAGCACGAAAAAGGAGAACTACAGGCCAATATCGCTGATGAACATAGATGCAAAAATTCTCAACAAAATTTTGGCAACCCAAATTCAGCAATTCATCAAAAGGATCATACACCATGATCAAGTGGGATTCATACCAGGGACACAGGGATGGTTCAACATCCACAAATCAATCAACGTGATATACCACATCAACAAACTGAGGAATAAAAACCACAGGATCATCTCAATAGATGCAGAGAAAGCATTTGACAAGATCCAACAGCCATTTATGATAAAAACTCTGAACAAAATGGGGATAGAAGGGACCTACCTCAACATAATAAAGGCCATATATGACAAACCCACAGCCCACACCATACTTAATGGGCAAAAACTGAGCACCATCCCCTGAAAACAAGAACGAGACAAGGATGCCCTCATCACCACTCTGATTTACCATAGTACTGGAGGTTGTGGCCAGAGCAATTAGGCAAGAAAAAGGAATAAAAGGAATCCAAATAGGGAGGGAAGAAGTGAAATTCTTGCTGTTTGCAGATGACATGATCTTATATATAGAAAACCCCAAAGAATCCATTGGAAAACTTTTAGAAGTAATCAACAACTACAGCAAAGTTTAAGGGTATAAAATCAATTTACATAAATCAGTAGCATTTCTATACTCTAATAACAAATGAACAGAAAAAGAACTCAAGAACACAATACCATTCACAATTGCAACAAAAAGAATAAAATACCTTGGGGTGAATTTAACTAAGGAAGTGAAAGACCTATACAACAAAAACTACAAGGCTTTTCTGAAAGAAACAGATGATGACATAAAGACATGGAAAGACATTCCATGTACATGGATTGGAAGAATAAACATAGTTAAAATGCCCATTCTGCCTAAAGCAATCTACAGATTCAATGCAATCCCAATCAGAATCCCAATGACATTCTTTATAGAAATAGAACAAAGAATCCTAAAA